ACACACTGTCCCTCTTTAAAAAGCTGAGCACTGAAGGTGAATGTGCAGGAGTGATAAATTGGGAAGTGGGTATCGGCCCCAGGAAAAGGACTCTGCCTGACAAAAGCGTCTGCTGAAGGCCCCTCTCCAGCCAGCAGAACAGACAGAACATCTAGTCTGCAAAACTGATTTGCATGCTCTTCATTAACAACATATTTAGCCCTGTGAACCTGCACAGTCATGGAAAGACTGCTCCAACCCCCAAATCACTCACTCCAGCAGCTGGGTGGGCCTGCAGTGCTGCTCTGGAACCCTGAGATCTGACAAGTGCTTTCACTTACAATGGGGCCATGTGCACCCTGACACTGCAGCATCCTGCCCCCAGCTCTATCTTTCTAGGTGGAAACACTAGCTGGCCACAGAGTGAAATGGAAGCAGGTAAGCAGAGCTGAGTGACAGGGAAACCCAACCTCCCCATTGAGCAGGGACAGGTGAGAGCACATAGGTACGGTCTCCTGGTCCCCTGGCAGAGGACTGGAGAGTCAGTTAAGTACCTTCACTACCCAGGGAGGGGAACCTGAACAGGCTGCAGAGGAGCCGAACACAGCAAAGTTCCAGAACAAAAAGACACACTCACCACCCCTGATTGAGGAGCCACAGCACTGACACCTGAAGCAGAGTGTACTTTTATAATTGCAAAGTAATTCATGCCCATTCAAGAGAATTTTAGAAAATGGAGAAAAATATGAAGAAATTACCAAAAACTTCAACCTAGGAGAAACCCACTATATAAAGGTTTTCTTCCTTTCTTTACTTATCTCATTTATATTACACAAGTGGGTATTATACACACATATACATGATGTGTATAACACACATAATACGAGTACACAACATATCCAGCTTTTTTACCTACATAACGAACATCTCACAATTTTATTTAGAATGCTTGGGACTCATGTTTGCATAGGCAAATGCACTGCTAAACTAGCGTTAATCACGTTCCCGTTGCTGGACGTGAAAGGGCTGGAATAACCATCCACGAAACACGTGAGAGTTGCTGCCTTCCAGAAAAACATCAAACAGCGAGAGTGCTTGGCTCATGCCAGCCGGTGGCACAGTCATTGTGAACCTAAGAATCTCCTGCTAATTCAACAGGCAAAGGACAACATCTTCTGCTGTTGACATCTGCACTCGGGGACGCACAGCGAGGCTGACCGCTTTTTCATGTGTTTTCTAATCATGTATGTTTCCTCTTTCATGAATTCTCTCTCCGTGTACACATCAGGCCCTTCAGGTTTTTCTCACTGAGTATATTTAACATTAACAGTTTTTATCTGTTAAACACAGGAACAGCTCACATATTTTTCAGTCTGCTGTTTGATTATGTTTTCTTCCTAGAGAAGTTCAAAATGCTCATGTAGTCAAATCTATTGATATCTTTTTCATAACTTCATTGCTGCTTTTACACTTAAAGAGTCCTCCCCTTTCAGTGATCTGAGAACTATTCACCTGCATTTTTCTCCAGTTTGCTTTCTAATCTGCTTCTTTTTAAAGCACATTTCATCATTTAACACCCCTGGGCCTGCTTTCAGAACGTGCTTGCCAGGAGCCAGGCTCCACCGCATCTGCACATCTGCATGGTCCTCCCTCTGGGCCCCAGGGCCTGTGCAGAGGCCCCCTGCGGTAACAGGAGGAGTAGTTCAGAACGTGCTTGCCAGGAGCCAGGCTCCACCGCATCTGCACATCTGCATGGTCCTCCCTTTGGGCCCCAGGGCCTGTGCAGAGGCCCCCTGCGGTAACAGGAGGAGTAAGTGAGGGCGGGGTCATGCTTCCACTTTGCTACAGCTCCCAGGGGGAACACAACTTATAACCTCAGCAAAACACACGTTTGGAGCTGTTCTATGTGTTCGTTCATCCAGCACCTCCTATGGGGCAGGCAGCGCAGCTCAGAGAGGAACGTGAAGCCCGGCCCAGCAGGACAATGGGCCAGCATGGGGGGGTGTCCCAGTCAAGGAAGCAGACCAAGGCCATAGGGCAGGGCTGCGCCAGAGCCCGCTGTGGGGACGGGGAGGAAGGCAGGCCCCCAGCTTACCTCTGGGTGCTTGCGCCGCATGTGACGGCTCATGGAGGCCCTGGTGGACACCTTGGTCCCGCACAGCTGGCAGCTCTGCGCCTCCACCTTGTCGTGGGTGAGCTGCACATGCTTCTGCAGCATGTACTCAGTGACGTACTTCTTGTCACACACAGAGCACGTCCACTGCTTGCCCACTGCTCATATGAGCGGGAACATGCATGCACACAGGAAAGAAGAGACACGTGCGGGTCACCAGTGGGTCATGCCAATGATCCCCCAGGCCACCAGACAAGGCGAGGAGTCTGCAACGCACCCACACATGCTGCAAATCGCAACAGGCCACAGGACAAGAGGCGTGGCCGAGACCCCTCCCACAGTGCTGTCTGCATCTGTTGCGGCATTGTGCCAATATTTGAAAATTTCAGAATGGATACTTGAATGCTGTGGGGGCTGATTTTTATAGGGCCAAGGGGCCACCATTAAACCAAGACAGCACTGAATATTACAGAAGACTCATCACAACAGAGTCGCTTCCATCCTGCGTGCTCAGACCGCACCTCGCTTACCCGTGTGGATGAGTTTGTGCGTCTCCATGGTGTTCCTCTCACTGAAAGTCTTTCCACACAGTTCACACATGAAATCTTTAATCCCTGCAGAAAAAGGCACGCTCAGTGTCACGTGTTTAACAAGTGTTTTAACTTCACGACATGTCAGAGGATGTCTTATCCCTGACATAGTTTAGTAATTGTGGAGGCCTTGGGGGAAGGTAAATTCTCAGAAGACAAGAGATGGTACATGTTCACTCCCAAACTCAACCCGAAAATGTGGCTAGAAAAATTTACCCCTCAATGGTGACCTTTCATATTAAAAAGATAGTGACATGTGGGAAGGCTTGTCTGAGAGAGCAGATGCAGAGAAGAAACCTACAGATGAAAACAGCAAAAATTTCTTTAAAAGTATTAATTTATCTACCCTTCCTTTAGTCCAAAAAGATCTCGGGCAGTATGCACAATATATATAATGAGAGGTAAAATAATTGGGCCAAATACAAGGAGAATATGAATATCCCAGGCAGAAGAAACAACAGACCTGCCATAGTTATGAAACATGATTTTAAAAAACTTTACTAATTCAAGTCAGATCTGATTTACTGTTTTTACTCAGATGGTAAGTGCTCAGCTGCTACTGGTGGAGGACTGGCCCGGGAAGCAGCGGCTTTAACAGATGGAGACCAGAGCTACCTGGTTCCTCCCCCATGGCCACCGACACCCAGGCGTTCTAAAGTGCCCTTTCCAAGGGAGCTGACCGCAGACCCCAGGGCAAGGTGTGCAAGACTGGAGGTGCTATCCTGTTGTTGCTTGCTTGTTTTAAGGAAACTTTTTATTGACGTTAAACTGTCACATCATAAGTGTACAACTCAACAAATTCCCACAAAGTGAATGGACAATATAACCAGTTCCCAGATTACTAAAAAAGAGGAACCAGCACAAGCACCACCCTGACCCTCCTTGCATCAGGAGACAGAGTAGGCGGTGCTGCGGTCCAGCGGGATTTAACCAGAGTCTGAAAGAATCACGAGCTAGTGGGAAAGGCTGTGATATAATCCTACTAAAACCTGTTATTTTACACAGAAGGGGGCAGAATCCCCCAGCATGGTCTGCGGCACCCAAGAGTGTTAAGACGTAAGGACCTGGGCCACGCCCAAGCAAAGCTGATGAGGAGATCTGGAGAAGAAACCAAAACATCGTCTTCTGACAAAGCCTCTCATAACAAATTCGTGAGCGGGTGTCCCCAACAGACCATCACATGAAAAAATTTAAAGGCCATCTTTTAGGGAGAAAGAAAGTGCCTTTTAGAGCTCAGAAAGGCACTCTGAGATGACCAAGGGAACAGGGCCAGCTGTGGACCATGGCCTTGAGGGAATGGCCACCGAAGTGGACAAACGCCAGAGGGAGAAGTGGGGGAGGAGATGACAGAGGCCATACTTCTCTTCACTGGGGAGAAAGCAACTTGGGGAGCATCCGCCCGAGTGCACAGAGCCCGTGTGCTGCGAGCTGCCTCTCTCTGGGCCTCGAGAGGTCCTGCACAGGACCCTGGGCTTGCTGTGGAACAGACGGGATGGGGCTATCACAGGCCAGCAGTTAGAATTTGGGAAGTTATGAGAACCCACAGGAGCGAGAAAGCATCCCAGAAAGCGAGTAACAGAGCTGCCCAGGAAAGAGAAGGATGGCATCCTTCTGGAACAGCCCAGGGACTCAGGAGGGCCCGGCACACAGGGCAACCCAAAGCAGATCCATGTGGCAGCCTGGGCTGCTCAGGGGAGCAGTGGGGAGGTGGGCGGGCAGGGGAGCGGGGGCCAGGTGATGGCAGGACTCAAATGCACTTTGGGAGGCCACGGGGACCACTGCAGAGGTTCATGCTGGAAGTTTCACACTCAGATGTAACGCCATTGGCCGGGACAACCTTCTCCCAGTATTGGTGTATGTCTTCCTTCTCTCTCTCCTACACACACACACACACACACACACGCACGCACGCACGCACGCACGCACGCACGCACACTCTCTCTTATCTATAAATGTTTTATAAAATGAATGAACTCCAATCGGTTGTTGTATGAGCTGCTTTTTTACCTGTTATATCACAAACTTCCTTCTGTGTAAATTAACTGCTGTAGACTGGATGCCCCCCAACCTCACTGAGGCTTAACTCCCACTGTCAGTTGTTGAGGGTGGGAAATCCTATTAAGGTGATTGAAATGTGGTGCCTTGAAGACATGATCGAATTGTAGGACCGTGACTAGTGAGTGGATTAAAAATGGTGGTCAGGGGCATGGTCCTGAGGGTTTTAAAAGGGGAGTGCAGGAAGAACTATCTCTGCTCTCTCTGCTTCCACCATCTTGTAATTTGGGACCCTTGGGTCACTGTTGCCACCACCAGATGGACTTTGGACTTCCCAGCCTCAGAAACTGTAAGAAAAAATTTCATTTTCTTGGGCCGAGCCCGTGGCGCACTCGGGAGAGTGCGGTGCTGGAAGCGCAGCAGCACTCCTGCCACGGGTTCGGATCCTATATAGGGATGACCGGTGCACTCACAGCGCTCACTGGCTGAGCACGGTGCAGCCGGTCTCAAAAAGGCCAAAAAAAAAAGAAAAAATTTCATTTTCTTTACAAATCACCCAGTTTTGAGTATTTTGTTATACCAAAAAAAAAAAGAAAAAATTTCATTTTCTTTACAAATCACCCAGTTTTGAGTATTTTGTTATAAGCAACAGAACCGGACTAATACATTAACAAATATACATAACATCATTTCTGATGGATGCTTGTTTTTTGGATGCACCATGATGGAGCCGTTGTCCTGCTGACAGCCACTTCAGATGTCCAATGTCTTCCCCTACATGGCAGCACAATTGGCCCTGCATAGGCGTCTCTGGTCCTTGCCCGATCACATCCTGCACATACACCCATGCAGGGAAAATGGCTGGGTGGGAGGGAAGGACATTTAAGGACCACTGGGCACTGCCGAGTGCCAGGTGGCAGGTCGTGTGGCAGAGTGTGGTCCCGCATGTGCAGGGGGGTGTTCTTTTTTTTTTGTCTTTTTTCGTGTCCGGCAACAGATCGCAACCCTCAGTGTCACGCCCGTACCGGACCATACTCTAAAACACACATGGAGAAAGGGAAAGGAAATGTAATGAAGGTTCAGTGTGTGCCTGAACACACTGAACCACAAGCAGTGAAACAGGCGACCTCCTGCCTACTTGGTGGGAGTATAAGTCAGTATGAACCTTCTA